TGATGATGATGACGAGACTTATAAGTGTTATAACATAGCTCTAAATTATAACAACACTTCACTTTAGTACAAAGCGTCGTAGTAGTGAGGGACATCTATGTGCCGAAACTTTTCAAAAGTGGGCATGATCGCATCCTATTAAGGGGGCGGTTTAAGGTTTAATGTACATATCTCAAATACCCTAGCTTCTAAGGAGGAAATATTTTGGCATCTCCCCATATCGTGTGAAAATGGTTGAAGTCGAAAGATAACCACGCTCACTCTTAATATAACAGTTACGTTGAAAACTGCTTAAAATGAGATGAATCGATAAATAAAAAAATATGCAAAAAATTTTACTGCTTAAGGGAGTAAAAAGAAGGGATGTAAAAATTGGATAAGGGGCGTGACACCAACCACATTTAGGTGAAATCCAATATCTCGAAAACTACACAAACAAATTTCAACAAAAATTGCTGCGTAACATAATATTTAATAAAATATAATGGTTGAAATCGGGCCACAACCAGCCTTATTACGATGTATCAAAATTTTAAATTTCATAGATCCTCGCACTTTACGGCATATAAATCGATAGCCAATGGCGTTATCGATATAAAATTTTGCACACAAAGTGTATTTAAGGTGACCGATTCCACGTCCAAAAATTATTGAAATCGAATTATAACTGTTCAAGTCCCCAGATATCGAATATGTGGACCTGAGTACCAATGGCTGGCCTTTTACCGAAAATATCATTTAAACTGTATACTAACTGTTAACTGTAAGTTGTAAACTGTGAGGTACCTTAAAGAAAACAAAAGAGCATATTTTTTTAGAAATTATATATCGTGATGTAACTCATTCTTCTTTATACTGAATAAGATCGACAGTTCAAGAAATAAGCAACAACTAATTATAAGTAGTTTTAAATCAAATAGACATTACACAATCGTCAATTAATTGCGGAATATTTTCAGTAAGCACATCTAGTTTAAGTTTTTACGTCGGAAAATAGTTATAGAGGAACGGTTTTACCACTAGGTTATGTACTAATATCAACAATTTCCGGTTTTATTGACGTAGGTGTATTTACACTATTTTCTGTGGTCATTTATATATGTATTTATATAATAATATATGCATATTTGCCACCTTTAGATTAAATTAATATAAACAAGTATGTAATTAGTTGCGAAAAGTAAATACATTGTAATGACTATCGACACCGTTACTAGAAGTTAATAAATATTTACATACGTTAGTATATATATTTATAAATATTATATAAAATATATAAAAGTCTATACAAATATATATTTTTGGTTTCACCGCCTTAAAGGAAATCATATTTTCCTTAAAGCATGATGGCAAATTATAAAAAGTCACACAATTTGCGTAAAACCAATCAATAAATAATATTACAAAAACAACATTAGTCAATTTTATAAATGATATGCTTTCATTAGCACAGCACTAATGACAAATGACGCATCGAAATTATTTTACAATGAAAGCGTATGTTTATAGGATGCCTTGACTTGACCCACGTTTACAGCTGGGAGAAACCTACAATAAATATTGGAAAAAGTACCAGGCGTGGGAAATGTTAAAGTATGTTAGTGAATGGTATTAAACATTCTAGTTGTTTATTATTGTTCTAATTAACAGCGAAAGTAATGGCAGGTTGCGCATTAGTTCCATTTATTTGCGCATAGTCATTATATTCATTAAGTTTTCTATGAAAGAGGGGATATTTTTCTTTTAGATTTAGAAAATATGCAGTAACTGCCATTAAGGTAGCAGTAGATGTATTGCTCCGAAGTGCTACCTTTTTCAGGGAGCAATTACTCCGACAGCAGAAGCAATACTAACTTTAAGCTTGCTGACCGTACGCAGGAAGTTTGTTAAGAAGTGTCTGCCCTCACTATCGATGGCATCAAGCTATCAGACTCATTTGGGTGCCTGATCAAAGCGGAATCGTTGGAAACTGCAAAGCCGATGAACTCGTAAGGGCCGATACCTTTCTTTCGATTACATTGGGAAAGAGCTGGGTCTACGTTATCGCTTTGCGTTCTAATACTTGACCTTTGAACTTCACGTGAGCTTAGCAAGCATTGGTCGATGACCAGTTCCTGCGCAACTGCAAGATCCTTCTGGTCTAGAGTAGAACGCAGGAGATCCACTGAATTACTTGTTCTTAGCAAGGTTGATCTTGCCGTAATCATAAGAGTTCTTACTTACTGCTATTGGACAATTATAGGCGTATGTTACATGCGGTAAGGCGTTTTGGATCAACGTTTTAACCCAACCTACAAGAAGCCACTACCAATGCATTGTTAACGTATATTTAGTGGCATACAACATTACTCAAATAGTGCTTGGGTAATGCTTCCTTGGTTAGAAGATTTAGTCTAATAAAATTCGGGTCTTAAGAACCGACTGTGCTGAGATCTTTCTTACTATTGATTATAAACATCTCTCCAAAATCGAATCAGTCGAGCTGATAGGCACTCAAAGTCGACACAATATCAAATTTAACATAGAATTCAATCGATCTGCTACTTCAAAAAAGTGATTTGAATATATATTTCTGGTGACGAAATAAGGGAAGGCTTAGACTAAGAAAACCGGAAGGCAAAGTTTGTTCAGACGCTCTTAGTAATGAGGATCAGTACGGGGTAAATTCCAAACCCTCTTGAAACGAAAGAAATGGTTGCATTCTTCTGATATATACGATATTAGCTGAGCGATATAAGTTAAGCGATTCTTTACATAAGCGATATTAGCTTGCTTATACAAGTATATGTAAGTCTGTAAAGACTAAAGAAACAGTAATGAAATATAATCCGTCACTTTTGAGGTTACTTGAAAATTATTGTATATAACCGGAAGACTACATATAGGTTTTGAGCAGATGCTTGATATTACTTGCAAAGAAGCGGATCTCATAGTAAACCAATTTTTTTTTAACAGTCTTTTCGATCCATGACTTTTACTAAACAAACTTGTCGGTAAAAATCACTTTACCAATAGAGGAAGGTTACTTTTAATGGCCTCTATAACCATTTTTCGGCTTAATGGTGAATAAGAATGTGCTCTTAACCTGAAATTTTATTTAATTCTAGAATATCTTGAGCTAATCTCTTCTATATAGTGAGCATTTTGCTGTAGAATTTATTGGATTAAGATTTAGGACTCATCCCATGATATAGCTAGGTCTAAAACTGTGACGTCACGGTGTATACCCGTTCCGTTGTTTATGAGCTTTTACATATGTGACTTTAAGGCACATTAATGTTTTGGGTACGAAGCGTTTCAATGCTACACTCGTACCAAAAGAACTGAATCTTTGACAAAAACAACGTTCAACTGGCAGTGTGTCTGACAACCCTAAATTCTAACCTATTTTAAAGGCGATAGTAAATATTTGTATTTAAGTACGTGAATATGTTTTTTTTTTTTTGTTAGTCCGTGTATATTACTTGTCGATGCAAATTCAAACATATCGAGCCGAAACATTGTATTACTAACTCATTCCCGGACTTTTGGGCTTTGTTTATATCGGTTTAATTTCTTTCTGAGATTTTTTTTTCTTATTGATACCGGGTTTATATATATCTACGCTTAGTCATTAAATCTTTTATATTATATTAATTTTTGCAATATAAATACACAGTGAATATTTTAGTAGGGAGAAAATTATTATTAACCGTCATTGTAACCACTTGAACGTCATGATATTATTTTATAGACTCATCAATATTTCAAATGAAATATATTTTGTTACTGCTACACCGCTCAGTTATTTTTAATTAAAACGTACAACTTAAAATTTGTATTTCTTTCCCGTTTTGTTGTGGTAAAAGTTGTGGTATTTACTCCACAGAGCAAAATAATAATGAGTATGCGTATGATACACTGTCAGAATATTACAGTTATGTAGTTTATCTAAAGAAGCGCTGATAAACTTCAATTGGCATACGCGCTCGCTATGAATATCACTGAAAGATCGGCACCGCTTACCCGTCTCAAAGGCAAGCCAAGCGCCAATGTGCAAATGAAGGAGCAAAGTAACCTAAAATGCTTCCGTAAAAAAATTATTAATTTTTCTTTGAAATCTCATACTCATTTTAATTTCACACTTTGTCATGTTTGCGCTGATATTACGAGCTTGATTGCAATGATTGAAAACTCGTCTCCTAGTTGATAACGTCTGGGAAAAATGCCAAGCAACTTCTACGCTGGGAAAAAACAAACTACATATTTAAAAGAGCGCTGATTAATTTGCGCTTTTTTCGCATGCACGAGTGCTAGCATCTGTCTCCGCCGACACCAATACAAAACGCTTATCATAAAACTTGTTCAACAACACGCTACAGCGAGGAAAATAGTTTCTGTGTTTACCCGTCAAAGAGCGCGATAACGCGACGCGGCAATAGCGCTAAGCAAAGCTTGAGCGCGCACAAGCGCCAGCATCAACATGACACCTACAATAATGAGTAATTAAAACGCTGCTGGTTGGCAAGGCAATTAAAGTAAGTAAATGGTGACGCGTTATGGCTGTTGCCCTTCGCGCGTTGACGGCGCGTACACTGACAGGTTTAACAGCGCTTAACATAGCGCGGCGCGCAAACTGAGACAGCGGAGCGACGCGCTCTCTTGCAGTCAAACGCGTTTTCAGTAAGCGATTTATTGCAACGAGCGCAAACGCACAAAGTTAAAATTCGCCGTTGTAAGCGACAGCGCAGCACACAGCGTTTTGACTTGCGCGCGTCATTGCCAACAGCGACGCAGGCTGCGCGCGCGCCGGTATATTAGCCGTGTGCCGAACGCGATTAAAGTTTGACACAGTAAAAATGGCAAATAAACAAAAATAGTCACAACAACATAAAGGCAATCGGCAGATAAGTAGCTGAAAATGCCTAAGAGACGAAAAGCAGCAAAACAAGTATGAACAAAAAAAATTGGCAGCAAGCATGCAGCGGACGTTTTGCCTCAAATACAACGAACCTGCTTTAAGCGAAACTTAGTCGCCTGTTAAACGGCCACAAGCGCGGTTCGCGGGTCAATTAAACACAAAAAAAAATAAAACTTAACTGAAATCAAAAATTCAGCAAGTAAGCGCAACAGGAAAGACAATATCTGTCACATAAAAAGTGGAAGGAAGCGGTCTTAAAGGACTTTGTGTGTAAACAAAAAATTCAAAGTTTTGAAAAAATAAATTTTCAAAAATAATAATTTCAAACAGTATTAAGTTTAGAAAGCTTAAAAAAGTATTGTTTCAAACATTTTAAGAAAAAACTTTAATTTTGCAAAAATTATTTTGAAAGTGAAAATATTTAATATAATAATTGGAAATACTGAAACAAAGGCAAAACGATTTTTTATGTGCAATAACAACTCAGATATTTAAAAACTAAAAATAAGAAAATTTAATTTTAAGTTTAATTTTAAAATAATTTAGTTATTAAAATTATTAAATATTAAAACCTTTAAAGAAAAAAAAAAAAATTCAAATTTTAAAAAATAAATTTGAAAGTGAGAAAACGTTTAATTAGTTTCAATACCCGGAAATACTGAAGAAAAAATTTAAACTATAAAATAATATTTTTTGAAGAACACAAGTGATTGCAAAAATAAAAAAAATACTGGAAAAATTTTATTAAAAAGTGACTAAAATAAACGACAAAAAACAGTGGAAATTTTGAAAAAAACGTTTTGTTTTTTTAAATTCGAAAATATTAAAACAACAATTTTTCAAAAAAATTCATAGTTTAAGTAAAAACATTAAAACTTTTTTTGAAAAAAACTTTTATAAAAATTTTTCGCAAAGAATTCAAAATTTTAAATCATAATTTTTTGTAATAAGTAATTTTTTGTATAAAATATTTCAACATTTTTGAAAACTTTTTTGAAAAATCCTGAAAAAAATTGTATTGAAGAAAGCAAAAAAAAGCAGCACTTGATGCAGCCTTCAGACTACACTGCACTAAACTAAAGGGTAAGATAACTTTAATTACTTTATAATCAAAATTAGCTAAAGATAAGTCGCGTGCATTAGAGATAGGTATACAAACTGTAATGATAAGATTTCGATTATCTTTACAGCCCGAAATAGTAGACATGTACAGTTATGATAGGAACAGTGCAGCGATTTTAAAAACTCATACTCACTAAACAAATTCCACTTTTTGTTCTGAAAAGCTATTTTCACCACTTAAAATACGCTGCACCTGAACTTCTAGAACTAGTACATATTTGAACAGTTTGACTGTTTGGTTACTTAGCCGACAAGGTGTACGCATCAGCCGCAATTGTTATGAATGGCAAATTTCATGCTGTTTGGCTGTTGTAGGCAATAAAACGATTTAGACGAAAAAAAAAAACAAATGTGTTGATAATAACCGTTATTGCTTAACGATCTCTTAATTTATATGAGCATTACGTGGAAAATATTGGATTTTACGATAAAATTGTTCAAAACGATTTTTATTGTTTTTGTGTTTTCTTTTGTTTTGTATTTAATTGTATTTTTGAAAACGCCAACAAATAATAAAATAATTGCCTAGAATTGTGAAATTTTTGCACTCTTTTAGGGAACTATTTCTCAATGATAATAAAAACAAACAAATAAATTAGAGAACCCTACACGTTGTATGAGTTGTGAGGTGATAAATATAAATAAATTTTAATTATATAATATTTAAAAAAACAAAAATTTTAGGGAAATATTTTCATTGATTTATGTATTAAGCTATTAGGAATTTGGTGCTATTTACTAATTTAATAAAAAAAATTATTGAAACAAGAATGATTTAAAAAACAAATAATAAGAAATAAACGTTATTTTCGGTAGTACCTTTCACAAGTGCATTTCTTATAGCAAAAAAGAGTATAACAAGATCCTTTAATTGATATTGATCAGTCAGTTTGTATGATAGCTATATGCTATAGTCAATCTTACTATAGCGCTGCCTTCGATAAAAATGCATGCGAAATTTTGTGAGGATGTCTCATTAAATATGTGCTATGCTATAGTGGTCCGATCTATAAATTTTCTTAAGATATTGTAATGTTGTTTTAGATAATAATCTATGCCGAATTTTGTGAAAGATACATCGTCAAATAAAAAATATTTTTATACAAGGTTCTGAGTTCGACCCCTCTGTTTTTATGGCAGCTATATGCTGTAGTAGTTCGATTTAAACAATTTTTCAGTTATATGCTATAGAGGTCCGATCTCGCCGATTCCTACCAATGAGCTTCTTGAGGAGAAAACGAAGTGTACAAAATTTCGAATTGATATCTCGAAAACAAAACTGGCGGACGAACGAACGGACAGACAGACTTGGCCAAATCAACTCAGCTCATCAGATCATCCGACGCTTTCTGTTACAAACTTTGTTGCAAACTTTATATATTCTATTCAGGGTATAAAAAACATTAAAAATAAACATTCAAAAATAAATTAATATAACAATAATTTTAAAATAAATATGTTGATTACAATTCATAAAATTCTTATTCATATTTCATTCATATTCAGAAAGTCTGGCAATTTGCATTCTTTTATTATTTAAAAAGCCTTTAGTTCAGTTAAAAAGCACTGTAAGACATATGAAAGACTTATAAGAAAGATTGGAAAAATATGAAAGAAAATTAATTATTAAAAGGGGATATTTAAACAAAAAAAATATTATATTGTAATAAATTGAAAACATTTTTATTTACTGCTTTTACTACAATTAAAATAATTTTTAAAAGCATTTTTCTTTACTTCTTTTACTACAATTGAAATAATTTTTAAGTTGTGAAAAGCTTAAAATTTTTTTATTCAAAAATTTTATTAAAAGAGAAAAGACAATAACTTACTAATTTAGCTTCTTAATGTGATTTGCATGTACTTTTTTTTTTAATGGGGGATGAGAATAATGCCTAAAAACTGGAAAAACTATAGCATACAGCTGCCATACAAACTGATCAGTCTGGCTCAAGATCTTGTATGGAAAACTTGTTTATTTGACACGATAGCATCAGATCCGATTACTATAGCATATAGCTGTCATGTAAACTGACCGATCAAAATCTAGATAAATATCTTTTTTTTTTACCTTTTTACACTATAGAAGATGTTCCTGTGTCGGGTATTATAGCTTTGAAGCAGCGGTAGTTAATTTTTAGCTACCATATTTTTTTATTGCGGTATTTTCGTCAAATAGTTTCATCCTATGTTTTTTGATTTTGCTAAAGTTAATTTAAATAATTTCATAAAAGCACGCCCATAAAAAATAAACTTCATAGAAACCATAATTTGAGAGAAAATTTGGCAAGCAATCATACTGAGAATATGTTTATAGCTTAATAAAGAAGTTAATTTGTGGTTATTTTTTTGTAAATATAAACTAATTTCGCGTTAGAAACACATTACAAGCTTATCAGCTGAATACGTACATATTTCCAAAACATAACCTTAGAATTTTCAAACTTTGACTACACGGAAGTAATTTTCAAAATAAACACACACACATACGCATTTACTAAACAAAGCTGTGAAAAAAAACTAAAACTCGAAATCACGGATGTGTTTAAAGCAACTACGTGTGAGTGTGTGTGTAGTTTGAACTATTTGCCCACTTCCTATTTCATTTTCAATTTTTGATATCTCCACTCAAAGATCAACACCAGCAAGTAACGACCAACAATTAACAAGCTAGAAATCATAGTTTAAGCTGCCGCAAGACAAACAATCAAAATATATAATTTCTGTTATTACTGTTGTTGCTGTTATGTGTCCAGTAATAAATTCGACAATAAAAGTAATCAAAAAGAGATGAAAAGCTTAAATAATTTTTTTTTTTTGGATTTTTTGAGTGCCAGCAAATTTCGGGCAAGTTGCATAAGTTGGCGGCAACAACAACAAAAGGCACGCATGTGTATATTAATGTGCCGCTATATGCATTTGTATGTAATTAAAAGTATGTAGCCACTTGTGTATTGCCAAAAGTCACATACTTCACAAATACCGACTACCCGACTACATAACTCAAAAGTAAACAAACCAAATCATCACAAAGCAATCGAAAATAATTTGTGGACTCTTATTTTGTAATTTTGACTTTGTCACTGTTTTATTGCCGGGCTTTTATTTATTATTACTTTATGTTTTATTTGTTGTGTTTGGTAATTTATAAATGTGTGCATAATTTAATGCTATTACGGCTGACTTACTTACCGAGCTATTGTCAGCTGATTAATTAGTGGACAGCTGACGGGCGTTACATATATCGATAGCAAAACGTTGCACAGTGGACCGAAGTTGAACCAATAAAATATAAGAAAAACATAAGAAATAAAAATTGAGTTAAAAAGTTACAAAAATAAAAATATAAGTAATACAATTAACAACAAACAAAAATCACAAAATTTAAATAATTAATTATAAAAAAAATTTCAATAAGGTGGCAACTATCTAAAAATTTTTACATTGTTTTAAAACGTTGCCTAATTTATTTTGTCTAATCAATGGTATAAAAATTTATAAAAAAAAAAATCTCTAGATAGGTGACAACATTTCTAAAAATTTATCCTACAGAAATTATTTTAAAACCCTTTGATCTTAATAAAATATTTAATTATTTTTGTTTAACTAATAGCAGAAAATTGTATCGAAAAAATTCTAGACAAGTGGCAAAACTTAAAAAAAATTTTCCCACAGAAATTATTTTAAAACTCTTAAACTTCTTTATAATATTTAATTTATTTTGTCTAATTAATGGTAGAAAATTACATAAAAAAAATTTTATGCAGATGGCAACATTTCTAAAAGAAAATGTCTTCACAAATTATTTAAAATCTCTTTAGTCGCTTTATAATATTTGATTATTTTTGTTTAACTACTAGTAGAAAATTGTATCAAAAAAATTCTAGACAAGTGGCAAGACTTCTAAAAAAATTTTCCTACAGAAATTATTCTAAAAACGGTAAAAAAAATTTAGAACAGCTGGCAACATTGCTAAATATTTTTCCTACAGAAATTTTTTTAAAACCTTTTTAAACTTAATAAAATATTTAATTTATTTTATCTAATTTATGGCAGAAAATTTTATAAAAATGGCAACATTTATAAAAAAATTTACCTACAGAAATTATTTTAAAACTTCTGTAGTCTCTTTATAATAATTTTTTTATTTTGTACAATTAATTGTATAAAAAATTTTAAACAGGTGGCATTCCTTTTTCAAAATATCTATGCGGAATTTCGTGAAGATACCTCAACAAATACAAAAGCCAAATAATATTGAAAATTGTTTCTTTGCAATATTTTTATACGAAAAATTATTTAAAAGATGTGCGTCTTTGGTGAAATATAGTAACCGCCTAATTGTAGGCAGTGTTCCATGATGAGTAGTGATTTTAAGAAGTAAAATTAGTAGAGTATCCGCTCATTTAGTCGACAAATACTAAACTTTATATACTATATATAATATAAACTATATATAATTTTCCACACATTTCCATTTAATCCGTTTATTAATTATTTGTTAACATAATTTTCAAATATTTGTTTGCAAAATATCATTTAAAAAAACAATTCCAAATTTCATTACTTCCACTACACTGTGCCGCTCGCTATGCGCCAACATTACCAATTAAAAATCGTCATTTGCATCTTGGCCAATTTAAAGAGCGTTGAGTTGGTCAGGCCAGCGCTTACGGTCAGTTAGCGTACAAAAATTGCAGCAACAAGTTGCTAATAGTGTTGTAAAGTGGTTGCCATGCCCCATTTACGTACCTACTTGCTGTTGTGTAAGTGAATTTTGTCCAAATATGGCATGTGGTTCGAGCACAAGCTGTTCGAGCGCGTGATCAGCTAACTAACTTTGAATTTAGCTAAAAGGAAAAAAATCCCACGAATGCGTACGTCTAATTATTTCACAAGTTCTAAAATAAAAAAAAATGCGATTAACGCATATATTACTAACTACTAAGCTACTGCAAAAA